GTTTCCTTGTATATATATATATATACAGGAAGTTTTAATATTGCAAAATGTTATAGTGTAAATATATTTAAGTAAACAGATTCAAATTATAAATAAATACAATACCCATCGTTACATGGTTCTTGTCATACAAAATTCTGAGAACCCATGAGTGAAAGCAAAGAAGAATATGTCAACCACACTATATCTGTCATATCCACTGCCGACGAGGCCTTTAGCTCAATGCGATGGTGTTGCTGTTACTTATACTTCAAATTGTAGAAAGTGCTTAGCTTGAGGCTGAATAGTGTTCTACTGAGCAGATAAACAGCAAAACCCTGTGGGAGGATTGTCCAAATATCTTAAAGAGCTAAAGCATGACCAGTTACAGGAAGGTTTTACCCACATGTAGCAAATAAAAATACATTAAAATAGTTTCAAGGTATAGGGCCATAAAACAACAAACTACTAAAACAGAAAAATCCATACAACGCAAAGCTATATATATGTGTGTGTGTGAAACAATAAATACACGCATTTAGTAGCTTTACGTTCACCCCCATAATATGCATATATATAGATATATTGATATTATATCCTACAGTTCTAGTGAGTGTGACGAGTATTTTATAGTTTGTAATATTACAGAAAAACAGCTTTACTCAGTTCATTTTGCCATGCATTTCTCGCCATAAGAAACCTCACAACTCTCCCACTGATTTCATAGGTTTGTTTTTCAGAAATAAGACCAGGAACAAGAAATACGATGTTTAATTACTCGTTTAACACTGCAGTTTTCTTTCGGATTTCTCGAAATAACTAATAAGTTGGTATATGACATTACCTGCCATTGACTGTCGAACGTCTTTAAATCCAAAGCTTACGGTGAACATTATAAATAACTTTTTGTTTGCTTGTTGAATTCCACGCAAATCTACTGAGAACTATTGACGTTAGCCGTCCCTAATTTAGAATAGAGGCAAGGCAGCCAGCCATTCGCCCATCAACCGCCCGCTCTTGGGCTGCTTTTTACCAATGAATAGTGGGATTTACCGTCACATTATAACAACACCACGGCTGAAAGAGTGAGCATGTTCGGTGAAGGGATTTGAGTGCACGACTCACAGGTCGCAAGCCAAGTGTGCTAATCACCAGGTCATGCCAGACCCACTCAATGATCTCACAAAGATTTAATTCCAATTGGCATCACGAACACCTTTTTCGTAAGTTTCACTAATAACATTAAACTCATCTTAATACTAAGATATGTACAACCTCAATGTACCAAATAATAAGTGTTCCTTACCTTCTGTTATCTTACTCGTTCACTCCTTGACCATTAAAAACCAAAAGAACTGATAGAGCCTAGATGCAAAAACAAGCTCATCAGTTTGAGGTAGTGAGTGATGGTCAAATCCAGACAAGAGTAGCCATATATAGAGTTGGCAGTGGGTGCTGTAGTCTAATTGATGGTCAAATCCAGACAAGAGTAGCCATATATAGATTTGGCAGTGGGTGCTGTAGTCTAATTGATGGTCAAATCCAGACAAGAGTAGCCCTATATAGAGTTGGAAGTGGGTGGTGTAGTCTAATTGATGGTCAAATCCAGACAAGAGTAGCCATATATAGAGTTGGCAGTGGGTGCTGTAGTCTAATTGATGGTCAAATCCAGACAAGAGTAGCCCTATATAGAGTTGGAAGTGGGTGCTGTAGTCTAATTGCCTTCTCTTAGTCTACCAGTTCAAAATTAGGGGCAGATATATACAGACAGCCCTTGTGTAGCTTTGCAAAAAAGTTTACATACAATACCGTAAATGTGTTGATGAAAGTATTAACTGTAAATGTGTTGATGAAAGTATTAACTGTAAGTGTGTTGATGAAAGTATTAACTGTAAATGTGTTGATGAAAGTATTAACTGTAAATGTGTTGATGAAAGTATTAACTGTAAGTGTGTTGATGAAAGTATTAACTGTAAATGTTTGATGAAAGTATTAACTGTAAATGTGTTGAGGAAAGTATTAATTGTAAATGTATTGATGAAACTATTAACTGTAAATGTGTTGATGAAAGTATTAATTGTAAATGTATTGATGAAACTATTAACTGTAAATGTGTCGAGGAAAGCAACAGGAAATATCAGACACCAGTGTTTCTCAGCTGGATTTGAGAGACGACCCCCCCCCCCCCTCCCGATAACCTCTAGAAAGATAGAAAAAAATATTGAAGTTTCCTGGCGCAGTTCATAACAAAGGCGATTTTTGTACCTCAGGGCTCAAAAAAAAAGTTGACGCACGCAGACCCCCCCCCCCCGGAAACCTGCACACGACCTGACCCACCATTTGAGAAGTACTGTACTAGACCATTTAAAATCAAGTTCTACGACAATTATTACATTATATAACACATATTTTGAAAATTTCGGGTATAATTCCATCATAATGTAAAAAAAAAAAAAATGAACGCATATTAATGGTGTTTGTACAGCATCAATGCTTAATGAAAATGACTATTTATGGGCACATAGTGCTTCAATCGCTAACAATTAAAGTATCACAAGAGTGCTGTTATCCTCTACACTTTCAGTTCAAAATTAGAAATGGCTAGCGCAGATAGTCCTTTCTGTAGCTTTGTGCGTATATTCTAAAACAATAAACTCATTGAAAGTGTTCTCCTTGGGTTAATATTACACAGAACACTTTATCTAGGGATTCAAGTGTTTAGCCGAAACGTCCGTAATATTTAAGTCTTAGTTTCAGGTTAGTAAGAACTATTACTGAGTTTTCCTATTAAGATATTTGTTTGTTGTTAAGCGCAAGGACACACAGTGGTCAATTTGTGCTGTGCCCACCAACGGGTATCGAAACTCTATTTTTAACTAGGAGGGGGTGCCCTATTAGGTAGAAAAATACAAATAAATCACTAAAATAACTTTTGTACTACTTACAATCAGTATCTGGGAACGGTAAGGAACAAAACATGGGTTATAAATTCTGACACGTACTGAACTGGACAAACCTTAAAACTGTCTGAAAACACAGTTATGTGTAGAATATTGTAAACTACTTGGTTAATTATGAAGTGACGTATAGTTTTACAGTATATTAACACATATGTAAAACATTCGTTAATTAAACTAATATCATTTTTTGAATAACTAATCTCTGAAGTATTGTTATTTAGTGTCACTATTTCTGGAAGATTTCATTTCCAGCTGGAAGCTTAAAATGTAGTTTATTTTCTACCGAACAAAACGTTTTGCGAATATGAACTTCTGCACATTTAACTAACTACTGGTAATTCTGTATTATTTACCAAGAGGGATCAAACACCAACATTTTCCCACTAACAAGGTGGATTTATTTGCAATTCAAACAAAGTGAGAAACTCATGCTTGACTTTTTACGCTTTTAACAGAAAAAACATTAGTGTGATTACAAGTAGTGTGAAACAAGTAACTGTGTTTCTGTTAGAAGCGTAAAAAGTAACATTAGTGTGATTACAAGTAGTGTGAAACAAGTAACTGGCTTTATCATGACGTGAAACTGACAAAATAACCATCCACTGTAGTGCACACATCTCGTTAAATATAGCTTGAAAGTCGTATTTGTTCCCACGATGAAACTTCACTACGATTTTTTTTCTTTCTTTTTTCACTTAAGCAGAATTGTGCACACATCTCGTTAAATATAGCTTGAAAGTCGTATTTGTTCACACGATGAAACTTCACTACGATTTTTTTCTTTCTTTTTCACTTAAGCAGAATTTCATACGTAGAAATTCAATCTAACACTATTATCATTAAATAATAAATTACATATGTTATAAAAAGTGGTAAAATGTTACATAATTTGTTTGTGTATAGGGTGCAGAATTGGTAATTAACCACGGATAGAAACAAAGATCTAATTTCACACATGCTTCATATACACATACATACATATTAAAGAGACTTACCGCTATCATTTCGGAAGATTCCAAAATAATACATTCACTAACTCGCCGCCCACCTTCTACTGACCTCTTCCCAAAACTGAAATAAAGTGATTATTCAGTTACTAAATATTCACAAGAAGTACACATATTTCTTCTGTCTCTAACTTAGCTTAGAATCTAGAAAGACAAAATAGTGATCACTAGGAACGATATAAGGTTAAGAAAACAAATTGTTTTGTAAGAAGAGTAGTAAGCTTAATTTTACTGAGTCAGAAGCGCACGTTTGGAACACGTCATTGGTCACTACTGAAATTAGTTAATAAACAAACTCGCTGTTGTCCACCAAATTATATTTGTGTTTGTGAACAATAGGTATTCTCGAAACGTCCAGAGAGCTATACAGCCCTAATCAATATAACAATGTGAAACGAACCACCTTAAAATCGTCAAACGACGATACTATAAGGCTTTTTTTATGTGGTGTATATAACTATAGCACGATGAAATGGTACGTGACAACCCCAAAAATATTTAATCAAATGTCACTTCGTAACATATAAATATATGTGTGCATATAAATATATGTATAGACAAACATAAATATGCGGAGAAATGTTGAAGGATAGATAGATAGAAACAGATAAATAGCTACAGAAATATGGACAAATGAAAGTTATCTAAATTACTGTTATAATTTAATAGAGATGAAACATCACAAAACCTTTGGAACCGATCGTTGCTCCTCAGTTCTGCAATAACCTCATCCATAGCTTCCCTCGACGGAAACATCTTGAATAACTTATTTTCCCGTGTTAATCGATTCAAAACCGTGAGTGGTCATTTTGGTCAATCAAAAACTGTAGCGAACGGTACAGCTATGAAACTTGTTTAGTGTCGGGAATAGTCGTAAAAAACAAAGATCGGTTTTGAAAGTACACGTTCACAGTAAAATACGAAACTGAATGAACGAAATGAAACATTATTCCAATCTCGTATTTATAACGGCCGAACGATATCCCACCCGAACACTCAAACAAGCAGTCGGAAATTTACACGACTCGAATACAATCACTATCGACGGTCCTTTTTCGTGCACTTTGAACAGACGTGACATTGCAGTGTGAATTGCATGATATTAACATAGAAACCAAATTACATTTATTAACAAGTTTGTTACTTTTCGAACATGGCATGCGATTTCCGTCATGCTAAAATGTCATGAAGCAAAGGACTAAGTAACATCAAAATGTTACAGTACTGGCTTTTTCCAGCAATGATAAAACACAATCGAATACACATTCGAAACAGACATCTCAACGCACGGATTCGAAAACACGTTAGATGTCGCTCATAATAACACGAAATATATACACAAGTTACACTTAAGCTCTGGAAACAGCACGGCAGGGATTGGTATTTCGCTTTAGCTAAAAAGAACTCATCTAGAAATAGTTTAACTAAAAGTGGTCATGAAATGCGAAATATTCGTGACATCTTCGTTAGGAACAAAGTCCGCCAGACATACGTACGATGCTTGGGAAATGACGAGGCAGGAGGGATACAGATGGCCCAGCACCACACAGAGCTCATTGTGTGGGGGGTTAGAGTTAAGACGGTACAGACACACCATGGGACTGGTTAAGTGCCTAAAATGCCCGCCAAATCAGTTAGTACCACCGAATAGCAGACCACTACAACTACGCAAAACTCAATCTATTAAAAAAAAAAAAGGGTAGAGAGAAACAGACCGCCTTCTCTCGCCTAGGGGGAGCGTCACTACATATATAAACCCGAGGAGTCTTCCCCATGTAATAACTCTTCATCTTGCCGTGTTTGGATATTACTATGATCATTTTTGGTTACCTGTAATAATTCTAGTAATGAGAAGCTTGCATACACGGATGGCGCATTCGGCATAGTAACTCTGAAATATGTACATGGCCTTCAACTCTTCTCTAGACAGTGCATATGTAAACATAAGTGCTGGAAATATCGTGGGCACAACTGACTCAGTAATCCGTTTCTATATAATCAAAACACCTACTCATAACGAAGAGTTTACTTGTTTTTTTTTTAAAGTGGCTGTATGTATACTTGTACATTATACTAAAAGATACTCGACAACTCGTATTTACAATTGTATACGACGCGCAAGAACTTAAATAAATTACATATAAATCAGTAGTGGTTCTAAAAAAACATTTTCGTGGAAAATTCTACATTGCCTATATAGGATTGTAATTTAATATTCCGAAGTAAGTGAAAAAGATTGTATTATGAAATACAAGAACGACCCACCTGGTATTAGTATAACAGCATTATATACAATATGTAGAATGCTAACTACATGCACAATCCTGAGAAAACATTAAATCAATTTTGAAGCAAACATATATCAAGTTGTTTCAAATTAGTATTAATGTTATACAGATACTACTCGAGCAAGTTTTTCACATATTATTTAGGTACTTTGTTAAATACAACATTTTAATATGTTTTTATAACGTAAAAACTACATAAGATGTTATCAAAATGTAGCATTTTAGACTATTTTGTTATATAGTTCTGTTTACGATGACGTCATTTCGGGTCTTCATACACAATTAAGTTTAGTATGAAATTTCATAATTTGTATACATGAAAGTTTCACTCTTTTCTTACATATTTCAAAGCTTATATCAACACCAGTCTTCATCCCTAACGAACTTGGTTTATCGTTTCTTACAGAAAAACAAGTGTTACGATTTAAGGATCAGTGATAATAATATCCTCACACCGAGGATCATGTGATATCGAAGTAGAATAATTACTCAGTGTTCAGTGTTTTGTTAATCTCTAAAAAAGCTGCATCGGGCGATTGAACATATTTGTAGTGGGGTACCTTATTTGCTACGTTAACAGTAACTACTGAATTCAAAACTCAAACAGCGACTTTCCATGAACGTTATAAACAAGTTTATATTCCCCATTTAAAGGGGCACTTCGCTACCGGGTCAAAATCGGGGGCCAAGTGCCCAAAGTGGCCCTTGTTTCCGCTGCCATGACAATTAACATAAATTCGAACATTTAAATAACATAAACAACACTAGATTCAATTACGTCTTTTATGAAATATTATTAATTGAAACACTAGCATAAAATACCCACGATCCGCTGCGGAATTCCAAGGTCCCCTCAACACTAGCATAAAATACCCACGATCCGCTGCAGGATTCGAATGTCCCCTCATGATTCACATAGGCTCAATGAACCAGTTAAGCGTCTCCATTATCTTAATTACTTCTACATTGCGCCAATTCTTTAATTCATTTGTCTGTTGCCATTTCCCGAACTTAATTCAGTTCAACTATTTTGAAAAGCAAATAGTTTTAATTTAGCTTCTCAGATTCTTTTTTTTTCTTCCTGTGTTTTTATTTAAATTCTTTTCATTCTCCGGATTCTCCAGTGATCTCTGATTCATATTTTTCTTCCCGCTGTTTGTTGGCGTTTCCCAAACTTAATTCAATTCAACTTTTTTTAAATTCTTTGATTTGTATTTTCTTCCCATGTTTGTGCTGAAAAACAGAGTATTTGGCAGAAAACCTCCACATATTGTTCATTCAGTAAGTGATAATTAGAAAAGAAAATGATACTTTGCTATAGACTTTCAGGAAGCAAAATTATGGGGCTTAAAATCTATGGGACAAAACTATAGGAACAAATTGGCTAAAATTTGTTTGAGCCAAGTATAAAAATAATACCCAGGTGAGCACCATCAGAATCCCCTTAATATGCGTGCAATGTTTCGGGTCTCTGGGTTATTTCCTCTTGGAGCTATGGCGGTCACGCACACACACACACACACAGATAGATAAATACAGATAAGTAATTTACAAATAAAATAAAAATTACACGTGCCTTGTTGGTTGATGGTCTCGGAAATGAGTTACTAGAAGTAAGGTAACAAAAGGGCAGAAGTTCGTTGTCACTGAAACAAACCTTATCTACATGTATGGTGGTTTTAGTTGTTTTTTACTCAACACAGTAAACCTGTATGTAGAATATATAAAATTTTAAAGCCATATAATCAATGCACGTACTGTCAAGTTTTTCTTCGCTTTTCAGATTATTTTAATAGTAACACAGTCATAAACACACACAGATATATATTTATGTAAACATATATATATATATTCACACTGATAATGTGTTTAACCTCCAAAATGTCCTCACACGCACTGAAATAAAACGCCCAGAAAGAAAATTATGAACTCCTGATCATAATATCTTATTGTATTTAGGGACTGATCCATGAAAGTCTACAGTCAAGATTTAGGGACTGATCCATAAAAGTCTATAGTCAAGATTTAGGGACTGATCCATGAAAGTCTATAGTCAAGATTTAGGGACTGATCTATAAAAGTCTATAGTCAAGATTTAGGGACTGGTCCATAAAAGTCTACAGCCAAGATCCAGACGTTTATTCATTACAAAAAAAAAGAGGTCGACCAAAATGTAAATAAAAATTTACAAACACAAACATGTCACTAATAAAATATACTAATGGGATGAATTTAATATACACCATCATTTATATAAAATAAATATATTTTTCCGCATTTGGAAAATAAATATATCTTGCTTTACTTTAACATAAAGTGTATGCACCTCCAGCTAGCAACATTACTAGTAGGTATAGAAGATTACATATACTACTTACAATTACTGTCTGGGAACAACTAAATGATGTGGCTATTCAACACCGAGCAACAAGACATTCCATATTTGGGAGCTGCAATACGCTCCATTTCATTATACTCCTATATATAAATGTCTACATCCTACTAACTACAACATAAAAAAAATATTTAGTTCATGAGAACGACATAATGATGTCGGTAGTCATGTTTGTCATTCTAGGCTTGTCTGTCGATTTACATGACGGCAATTTCTATTCTAGTACATTTTATTTCTGCTTTCACTTCATTTACTGAAAGTATAATGGTTAATGTGAGCTCATTCATTCACTTTTAATTGAGTTTACTTTGAATTACAAACTAGTAGTCCAAGCAATACTTTATGCTTCTGTTTAAGCATATATCATGTTCATCCGAAAAAGTAGTAGTTCAATCACGTAACTGCTATGGTCGCCCTACAGACAGTGAGGATAGCCGTGCGGACATATATCGGTAAGAAACATGCTACTTTCAATTAACATAATCTGATCTAGTTTTGACTAGTTGTGTCTATGAGGTTTTCACAGGAAATTCACATAGCACACTTAACTTAGTGCAACTGTTGCGTGCAATTTAGTTTATGGTGATGTCATTACATGCAAAAGCACCAATAATACTTACGTTAGTGTCCGTCATGCATTTTTCTGTATTTCACACATCACTAATATTACATCTTTGATTCATGCATTATTATTTGAAACGCCACAACGTGCGCAACCAGCGGTATACATTTCGGTATAGAAACATACCGTTTCTTCTTTCTATAATATTATCACTTATTCTTAGTTATGAATATGTCTCAATAGGTCAACGGTAAGTTTAGGGACTTACAATTTTAAATTCAGAGTGGTAGAGGATAGGTGGCAGAAAAGTTGATTTTGTTTCAAGTTATCTCTCTTTCTTTGTAATTAACAAAATTGGTAATACCTGTTACCGCCTCTAGAGAACATTGCTTACACTGACGTAGAGGGCAGTGTCTATCAATGGTTGTTCAGGTACTATGAAATGAGAATGACCAGTCACGTGACCATGTAGTCGCGCTAGGTATACGCGAGGTTTCATTTTAAGTAGAAACTTTTGGTTTAATTAGTTCTACTCCAGTCGTAAAGACGTTCTCAAATTTTATCTGACCCTTGTTTCTGATTTGGTAGTGAGACGACCACTTGTTGTCAAGCATGTACTCATGCCGTTTCTGTGCTGAGCGTTTTATTAAAGGCTTCTCATTTTGTTTATAACTCTTTATTTCATTTAACGCAGTCTCAGTAAGAGTTTTTAGTATTACTACGTAGTTCCATCTCCTGACATAATTTCCCGTTTGGCGAACTTATCCGATATGACTCTAAAGTATCTTCAGTTCACCTGAGAATACCACAACGTAAAACTCTACAACAACAACACATTCAGCATAATGATTCATTTTGCTATTATATGATGATGTATTCATTCAACCATTTACTGAATTAAATTTCCCTGCGACTGAATAGCTTCCAGTTAAGTAATATGAAAGTTTTCTGAACAAAACACTTAAATTAAAAAGCACAAAGTATTACCCATTTGTTAGTCTTTCTAAACGATAACACTTTTGTTTCTAGCCATATGAAAATGAACTGAAAACTAGTCTTTAACTACACAGACATGCGATTTGCAGTATAACATATAATAATCGTACTCAAAACCTTTGAGAACGAATTAATTAATTAATTACAAATAAATCTATACATGTTCTACGCAAGGACGGACTAAGTCTATATCACACGAGTTTGAAACCGGTACTGCATCCGAATAGGGCAGTTTTTGTAATTGAACTTTTGATGCCAAACACATATATAAATTATATTGCTAACAAAGCTTCGTTCGGGTTATAACTACCGTAGTTACGTTAGAGTGATAGTTAGACAGAAATATAATTTTTCATCAAGAAGTGGGGAAGTGAAAATCGAGATGCAACTTTACCTACTATT